TCCGCAACCTCGGGGGCTGTGGGGCAAAGGGGCCGCAGGACCGCAGGGCTGTGACGTGAGCGAGGCACACGGGTGATGTGGTTATAAGGGGAAAAATACCAACCCGAAGAAGATGTTTGCTGAAATACTGGCAGGGACAATGCCTGCCAGCCTGGGAACCATGATCCTGTGAACGCAGCTGGGGACAAGAAGCATCCTTGAGAAGCGCGGCTGGTATCTCTGAAGTGCAGCTCAGCACCGAGAAACCAAGGACATCCTGGCATACTATCAATAAGCACAAAATCAAGGAACTGTGACGGTAACTTTATAATCTGAAAAGGTGAAAAATAGTCTGGAAAAAGGGGAAAACATCCTGAGATAAAACCAGTGCTTGCAACTTGATTTTGCTCAAGTATTGCTGAGTTTCTCCCAGTCAAGGCATTCCAATGGATATCAGCGCTCTGCTCAGCTTTAGGAAAGGCTTCCTTAGTTTTGCAGAAGTCCGGGCATAGCAGCATTACCAAACCCACCTTGGCTCACGACTGCCAACGGTCCTCGCTGTCTAAGCCCTTCTCTCCATGCCCAGGCCTGTGCGGGTAAAGGCAATGACATGCTGGCTGCTATAATGTGCTGGGGTTGGAAACATGCACGTTAGCAGTGGCACTGGCAAGGTCGTGACCAATATATCCTTCTGTTTTGGCGTTTTTGCCAGCTTCGAGTTGGCATTCTGTTCTAGACAGGGGAGAGTGGCGCTCGATGTTCTCTCTGCTGATCATCTTTGTCTCAGCCTACCGTTTTCTATCTTAATATAGAGGGAAAAGACACCTTTAGGGAGAGACGGAGTCATTTGCCTGGACCAAAATTACATCGGTGATTATCAACGGAAAGGTCTCTGCAGGGAAACGGGGGAGGTCTCCCGCAGGTTACACAGAAGAATAGCAGCTCCTGGAGCGAACCCAGCCGCTATCAGAAAGGAAAAAGCAGGGATTTAAAGTATTGATGAGTAACCACAACTCCAGCTAAACTCAGTGGGAGCCACTCTTTCCCCCGAGCCCACAAAGGGCTGCAGTGACACGGGGCCAGGGGCCACGCTGCGGGGCCCTGCAGCGCAGGGTTTCCCCGTTCCCTACGGCTTGCATTTGCCTGTAGCCCGCAAATGGTTTTTAGCACTAGCTTTCTCGAAAGGCCCATCCTCGCCCCAGGTCCGTGCTGTTCCCCCCCTGCAGGGACCCAAGGTGAAGAGTTCTGTGACATCATCACATTCCGTGATGATGTCACAATGTTCGGTTCTGATGTTCCGGCTCCAGCGTCCCTCCCTGGGTCAGTTGCTCCCAGCTTTCACAGGAGGAAGACCTGGAGAGACCAGTCTGTCCATCCAGGGAATCCTGCTGCGATGAGGAGGCTGAGAGTGCTTGAAGGTGAGGGTCTGGCAGGGGGCTAAAGCACGCTGGAGGCAGGACCCATCGCGGTCGTCTGCGGTGGACCGAGTCCCCTCGAGGTTTGAGCATCTCCAAGGACGGAGAGCCCACCGGTGGCCTCGCTGGCCTCTCGTGACTCTTGCTGCAAATGTCCGCCCTGGATGTCTAATGGGGATTGACCTCCAGCTTGTCTCCATCCACGCCGTCGCTGGGCCCCTCCGAAAGCTGTTGGATTCTTCCCTTCCAGGTTGCTGCCCGTGTGTAGGTCCCCCGCCAAGACCTACGCATCCCGGGGGCAGAAGCAGGGCGATGGGTTCCGTCCCTGCGGCTGGCCCCACCCTTGCTGCCGTTGCAACTTCTCTGTTGGAGCGTCTACAAGACAACGAGGTGAGACGGGGGCATCCCACTGTGCTGCCAGAGGCTTGAGGGCTTCCCCCCACCAGCCCTGCCTTCCCTGCCCAGGAGAGGGCAAGTGCCGCACGTCCCGTGTCCGAACGTTCCCTCTGGCGCTGGGCTATGTCCATAGGAGTGGTGGGTTTGGGGAGGACCTGGCCTGGCGTCGGTATGACCTCGGGTCGGTGGCTGGTGCTCGGACACCGTCTGCAGGGCAGCTGCTCCCTCCGCTCCTTTCTGTCGCAGACACGAGCTGGGGGCACGAGGCGATGGTGCCGTTCGCAGGCTCTCCGGAGAGCAAGGGCTGGCAGCTCGCAGCTCCCCGGGAACGAGGGCAAAGTAAGTCTTAATTTCTCCCTTCCGTGGTCTGTCCTCAGGGTGACCGCGTGCAGAATTACCGCCAGCTGGAGAGCGCCTTGCAGGGAGGTGACAGCCGTTTGCCGAGCGGTCTCTTGAACCGCCTGATAGCTGAAGCCTCTGGTGACATAAGAGCCGCCCAGGTGAGCTTGTTCTCTTTGAAGACGGAGGTTCCCCAATGCCCCCGTGAGAGCTCCTTCTCCTGGGGAGCCCTCCCCGTAGAGGAGAGACCGTATCCAGTTCCGCACTGGGGTATGTATAGAGCCAGCGAGCCCCTCTGTGTGAGGCGACTGATGAGCCGAGCTTGGAGGATGGAGCTGGGACACACAGGCTCCCAATTCCAGCTGCTGGCAAGTCTTGGCTTAGGGAGAGGTTCTGGGGACTCGTTCTTGTGGGGCATTTGGTGAGGGGCTGTCAAGAGCTCCGGAGAGGGGCGGACACGGTCTGCCTGGGGAGAGTTGGGTTCGAGTCTCTGTTGCCCGTCCTGCTCGCCTTCCCCGGGGCACAAAAAGCGGCAGATGCCTGGCCTGGGGCGCAGACGTCCCCATGGGGTCTTGCTGGGGAGACGGGACTGTCTCTCGGCTAGCCCTGAGGTCATTGCTGGCCGGTTTATCCCCGTCCGAGCGCCTCAGCCTTTTTCCCGCGGAGCATTTCACCTATGGTGCTTTTTTAGGGTGTGACCGATGACATGAGGACAGCCGCTAGTGACATCCTGGTGGCGCTGGCTGGCTCCCACTTCCATTTCGTGATGTCCGAGCTCCAGGGACACCTGAAAGCCGTGGGGGGAACCTCCGAGGAATTTGTCTTTGTCACCCTGGGCAAACTGGCCAGCAGCTACGGTATGGAACCCTGGCCTCCTGCTTTGAGTGATGGTCCGTGATAACCGGGAGAGGGGATCCTTCCCCTCCCAGATGCTCTGTCCCGAACTGGAGGCCTATGGGCTTGCGGTGCCTCCTTGCCAGGCTCCATTGCCAGGGCTGGGGCTGAGCGGGAGCTCTGCCTCACAGCCTCAATCGAGGTGCTCTGAGGGCAGGAACGTGTCAGGGACCAAACCTTCAGGGGCTCTGCCCCACACCATCCTCCCCATGCCCGCCAAAGCCCTTCCCTGCTCCCTCTCAGGAAAGCAGGAGCCCTCCCCATTGTCGGGGGCCTCCCCCATCCCTCAGATATCACTCATGTCCCCCTGGCCCTGCAGCACATCCCCCCCATCCCAACACTCCTGGCCCTTCTGATGGGCAGTGCCGTTGAGGGCTGGACCCCAGGCCCCCCCCACAGCTCCGGCTGACTGCGTCCACGCTCTATCCCTCTGCCCTGCCCTCTCTGCAGCCCTGCGATGCATCCCTTTTGCCGGAATGACGCTGCTCGCCCTCCGCGCCGTCCTGAGCCGAGTGGGGAGCGGACAGGTCCGGCGTGCCGTCTGCGGTGGTGAGTGTCAGACCCTCAGCCGTGGCCCTGAAGGCAGGGGAAGGGTACGGGCTGGCTCGCTCCGATCTCGGCGCAGGCACAGCGGGTCCGAGCCCGGTCTCGCTATTTCGGCAATGCCAAACCGCCGTGAGCGTGTAGGAACAGCGGGTGAGGCGTCAGAGGCTTCTGGTGGGCAGGACGCGGAGACGCTGGGTACCTGCACAGAGGAACTCACGGGTGCCTTTGGGCTGCCTGGTCCTGAGCCTTTCGACCGGCTTCACGTGCCTGTGCTGAAGGGCAAATATTTGGGCAGGGAAGGGCGAGGGATGCAGTGGGTATAGGCTGGAGGGGAACAGGCACGTGAGGAGGAGAAGCTGTGGCGGGGAGGAGAAGAGAAAGAGCGCAGACACCTCGAGCGCACGGTTTGCGCCCCTGAATCCAGATGTGGCCTCAAGCCAAAAGCTGGCAAGCTGGGGGCTGTGCTGAAAGCAGGCTTGGGTGAGGGTGCGAGGTACCCTTCCTGCCACAGGCGCCCACCTGCCCCTTTTTCCCTTCTTTTGGTGCAGTTCTGGAGCAATGGTCAAAAGGGGTGAAGACTTACTTCTGCTCCTGGGACAAATGCCCCTTCCCTCGCATCGAGGAAGCGCAGCTCTGCAAACATGTTTACCCCCTCTATTGCTATGTGGTGCAAAACTGGCTGGTCTGCAATAAGAAAGAGGTGAGGGCAGCTGCCTTTCCAGCCCAGGGACTGAGAAAGCAGCCCCCCCCAGGCCAGGAGTCTGCCAGTCCCATGCCCAGGGCTGGTAGTATTTGGCTGACAAGAAGCAGCCAAATCCTGGGACCTTTTAGCAGCGGGGCGTTGGGTGCCCGCATGGGGAATTGCTTTTTGTCCTCCGGAGCGAGCCCTTCTTCTGCGGGGTACCTCTCTCTGGGACGGGGAGGACTCGTGGGCAGGGGTTGATGAGCGCTCGGCAGATCTTCAGCCCTCCCTTCCCTCTCCAGGACAAGCAAGCTGTCCTCAGGGCTGTGGCTGCCATGATTGGCGTCCTCCTGCGCGAGGAGCAGCACCGGGAATACGCCTGGGATCAGCTCCTCCTGTACCAAGTCGCTTTCTTGGCAACCAAGGTCAGGGGTGGCCGTGGGGTCTGTGCAAGTAGCACAAGGTGTCGGGGAGCTGCTGGGTGCCAGAGGAGCTAGGGAGCCTTTACTGAAGGAACAGGGAGGGCAGAGGAGCCCTGAGGCTTCTTTCAGGCAAGAGAAGAGCAACCCAGGAGGGAGCCAAGAGGCACTGGGGCTTCTCTCCTGTGGAGGGGATGCTCTGCCATCTCCCTGGGGCTCTGGTGTGCCTGAGGAGCTCTGCCCTGGTGCCCAGGGCCATGTCCAGCCCTGTCAGACACGGGGAGAGGTCCCACGGGTGGGAAGCCATGGCAGGCGATGAGGGAAGTTCTGGATTTCCCCAAGGAGCTGCTCAGCGCCAGCGCCCATAGCCATTCAGCACGGGATGTGGTGGGGCACGTCCTTGGCAAGTTCAACCCCATTTTGGGCAAAGCCACCTTGCAAAGTGAGGGTGCCGGTAGGAACAGGGCATTCTGCGTCGTTCGATGCTTAAGAGCGATCGCCAAAACGCAGGCAGCGTGGGCTGGCGGGTCTGGCTAGAAGAGCTTCTTGTGCTGCCTGTCTGCTCTGGCCCCACAAAACACGACCAGCCCCGCCACTAGAAGCGTGCAAGCATTTCTACGTAGGTCTGGCAGCAGAGCCTGTCCCCCGCAAAAAGCCTGTCCCCACCGCCCACTTTGTGTGTGTCTCTTGAACTTGCAGGACCGGACAATGGAGGAGCCCTGGGACTCCACGGCGTCCCAAGTGTTTCTCGGTCTGGTGCAGCTGAGGTAAGGTCCACGGCCCAGACCCTCGGACTCACTCCATTTCCCCACCCAGAGCCCTGTGGCCTTAAGCATAGTTCTGGGAGTAGCAGGGTCTGCGGGGTGGGACGGCGTTTCCCATTTCTGATGTCTCTCCATGAGGACAAACCCAGTTGTCATTTGAGCCGCTCTGGAGAGAGCTAGTGAGTCCCCGTGTTGTTTTTCTCTTCCTTTTTTTTCTCTGGCCAGGAAGCTGAAGCCATCTTTGAGCAGGAAGAAAAGTTGCAGCCTGCTGGCTGAGTGCTGCCACACCATCTTGTCCTTTCCTTGCAAGGAGGAGATGGAAGGGAGAGGGAAGATAGCGAGGCAAACTCGGAACATACAGGTACCCGCCATCCTGGTGCTGCCCACCTCTTGGCCAGGATCCCCCCTCAGCGTGCCCTGGCAGCCCCCCGTGATGCCAAACCTCAGTCCTCCTTTTCTTGCTTTCAGACCCTGCACACGCTGTGCTTGGAAGGTCTGGGCCGGATTTTAGCAGTCCTTCTCGAGGCGGAGGTGACCTCTGCCTCCTTCGAGGATGTGGTCCATGTGAGCAGCCATGGGGTGATGGGGAAAGAGTCGCTCCGAAGCTGGGGCGGAGATTTGGGGGGGCTTAGAGAGCGGGGCTGCGAAGGCAGCACTGCCAGTGCTCGGTGGGTCTGGGGGCCGTGCCGAGCCGCAGGGCAGGCCGTCGAGGAAGGGTCCAGAGGAGGGAGACGGAGGGATGTCGGGGAGAGAAAGGTGCCCGTCGTGAGACAGGATAACCCCCTGCGCCAGGTCCTGCAGTGCTGGCTCACCTCGGCCAAAGCGTGGGAGCGGGAGAGGGCCTTGCAGGTCTGCGCCCAGCTGCTGGGTGATTGCGAGGAGCGATTCGAGGTCACGGTGAGTAGGGAGCTCCTGCGTGCCCCATGCCTCTCCCAGAAGAGAGCCCTGCTTGGCTGGGCGCTGGGTTTCAGGTCTTGCGGAGCGGCAGGGCAGCACCTCTGCCCTCTCCTCTGCCCGATCCCTGCTCCGGGCAGCATGGCCGGGAGAGGCGAGCGGGCACTGGGTCTCCCTGCGACCCTTTTGCTACCTCTTGCCCCTGCAGGGAAGATGCGCTTGCAAGAAATTTGGCTTCTTGGTGGCGCTGCTGGGACCCCTGACTAACGAATCCCTGGCCACGTCCCGCCGCTGGGCAAGGGTCTGCCTGGGTCACCTTCTGCAAATGCGAGGTGAGGACAGAGGGGGCTTGCCAGGCTTGGTCAGGAAAATCTGCCCAGGACCAGAGGGGAAATCAGTTAGCTGCCCAGAGTTTTGGAGCAGGGACTTCCGCTGCTGGCCCAGAGCGTGAGGTTGGGGAGGGGGTTCTGGTTAAACCCCTCTCCAGCCAGCCAAAAAATGCTCTCCGCAAGGGAGGAAGGTTGTAGACAGGGTGTTCTGTGGCCGTACAAAATCACTGTCCCTGCAAAGAAATTGGTTAGAAGTGAGTTCTTGCCTGCGCTTCAGGGAGCAGCATCCCTCTGTGCTGAGGACGTTTCCCCCCTCCCAGAGCCATCCCTGTCACATCCCGCTGCGCCAAATTCCTGGCTTTTGCTGCCCCAACCCCGGGTCCTCCTTTTTCGATAGCTGGGGCTGATGGTTGGGTTCCTGTAAATGTGACTCTCCTTTTTACCTGGTGCTTCTCCCAGCCAAGACCAGGAAGGTGGCACCCGAGGCGGGTGACATTGCGTGCCTGCGTAAAGGGCTGGACACCACCGACAACGTGCCTCTGCTTGAGACCTCTTACGAAATAGCAAAGGTAACCGGCCCCGGTATGGGGCTTGGCGACTGGGCTCCTGCACATCCCCCTGCTCCCTCCAGGCTCCCACGCCATTTCCAGAGGGAGCTGTCATGCCAGCACCTCCGTTGTTGGGCAAGTGGCAGGAGGCTCCGAGACGTGCCTGGCCTTTAGGCACGCTGTCAAAGGAGCGGATACCACGTCGTGTTTGTGTGTGTGTGTGTGTGTGTGTGCACGAGAGAGTGCTGTTGTCGGAAGACGAGCTTTGCAGATAAGCAAACGTGAGGGGAGGCACTTCTAAATCTCTTGGCTCCATAAAACATAAATGGCAGGAGTGTACTGTGATTGCCCCTTCCATGACAGGCGACCCGCTGAACTTAAGAGTCCCTTCAAGGCTCCTTCCCGTTCTGCAGAGATGCAGAGTTGTGACCGGGTCTCTCCTCTTTCTGATTTCACTCCAGACTGTCTGCAAGGATTTCCCCCCAGCACAGGCCGCAGACTTCATGAGCACCATCACGGAAAGCCTGAAGTGTACCAGAGACGAGCGTGCGTGGGCCGCTGAGATGTGGATGACTACCTTTCTGGAAAAATGTGGACAGCAAATATATCAGGAGGTAAGAGGGACATTTTTTGCGGCTTGGCTTTGACTTTTCCCTGTTGGCTGTTGCACTACACCTCGCGCAGCTGACGCAAGCTAAAGAAACGCAGCCTGTGTGCCGAGACGAAGGGTATCACCGGTCCGAGCTGCGTGTTAGCACCTCCTGCCACATTCTGCTCTGTGGAGCGGGGGGCATGGGCACGGGCAGTCCAAAGTCTCCTGGGGGAGCAGGTCCTTGCCGTGAGACAATTACCTCTGGGATGCACCGACCTTCCCGTTCCTGTCCTTTCACTCTGAGGCTTCTTTATGGGCTTGGAGCGTGGTTTTGGTTTTGATCTTGCATTGCCACAGCCGGGTGGTCAGGGTTATCCAGGCTGTTCGGGGAGAAACTTGTCCATCTCTTGGGTGTACGCAAAGTGCTCAGCCCCTGGCACTGCTGGGTCCAGGCAAGTGCAGCAACCGAGGGCATGTGCGTGTTCGCGTGCCAAGGGCACGCTCGCCCCAACCCGTGAGCCAGGGCTTGGGCAGAGCGGCACGGTGAAGTTTAGGAAGTTTAGGACTAGACCCTGACAGCGTGTCAAGGGAGCAGGCATTGCTCGTGAACCAATTGACCGTGTTTGTGTTCCGTAGAAGTACAGGGAAAGGACGCGTTGTGGCATTCTTTCTCATCTTCTTCCTTTCAGGTGCCAGAAGTCCTGCACGTTCTTTACAGCCGCATGCAGACCATGCAAGAGAACACCCACAGGCCCCTCCTGCTCCAGGCAGTGTATCTCCTGGCCTGCTTTCACCACGAGCCTGTGGTCGACAGCCTTCTCCAGAAACATCTGCCCATGGACAGGTCCGTGCACTCCCATCTTGCCCCTCTGCAATTAAACGTGGCTTGCCTGTGTTA